TAATAATAATAATAATCTTTATTTGTACACCCGCCACCATCTCCCCAATGGGGACTCGGAGCTGCTTACATGAGGCCAAGCCCAAACAACAATTACAGTAAAGAACAACCGAAAACGCAGACAATAAACAACAACATCATAATTACATAAAACATATGAATATACAACAATATAAAATTACAGTAAAGGTTCCCCCTTGGCAATTTCTAGTCATGTCCGACTCTGGAAGAGGGTGCTCATCTCCATTTCTAAGCCGAAGAGCTGGCATTGTCTGTAGACACCTCCAAGGTCATGTGGTCAGCATGACTACATGGAGCACCATTACTATACTTCACTATACAATAGTATGGTATATAATAGGATTTGAACATCTAATGATTTTGGAATAATGCTGATGACCTTGGTCTTAACAACACAAACAAAAGACGTTCAAACAGCTGAAAACCAACTTCCTAATGCCCTGAAAGATCTCTCCAGCTACTTCAAAGATAACCACCTGAAGCCTAACTCTGCCAAGACACAAGTGTGTGCTTTCCATCTACGTAATGGTGAAGCCAACAGGAAACTGAAAGTTGCCTGGGGAGGCCAAGAGCTTGAACACTGTTCCCACCCTAAATATCTTGGCTTCACCTTAGATTGAACACTAACATTTAGGAAACACTGTGTGAACACCAATCACAAAGTAGATTCATGCAATATCATCCTGCAAAAACTTACTAATAGCGCATAGGGTGCAGACCCAAAATGAATAAGAACATCAGTCCTGGCCTTGACTTACTCAACTGCTGGGTACGCCTGTCTTATTTGGCACAAGTCTGTCCACGCAAAGCAGGTGAATACAACATTGAATGAGACATGTAGAATAATGACAGGATGTCTTAAAGCTACACCTGCTGATAGACTTCATAAGCTAGTTGGCATTGCCCCCCGATGTGCAACGGGAAGTTGCAGCCAATTGTGAGAAAAATAAGGTTGAATACTGTGAAAGCCACCCACTGAATCGCTATCAGCCTCCTCCCAGTCGACTTAAATCAAGGAAAAGTTTTATGAGAACCATCACTCCTCTTAATGTTCCTCCAGCAACAACAAGAATATCCCTGTGAGCAGTAAAATCAGGCAATTCCAACTGGATGGTCCCCAACGAGGGTCTTCCTCCAGGGACAAACCAAGATTGGGCAACCTGCAAGTCGCTTCTGGTGTGAGAGAATTGGCCGTCTGCACAGCAGTTTCTCAGATAGCTCCTGGCACGACAAAAACAAAACAAAACAAAAAAAAACAAAATAAAAAAACCTATACTATTGTATATAATAGGATTTGAACATCCCAAGATTTTGGAACTAACTGAAAGTAGATGCCAAGGACCCACTTGAAGCAATGACAAGTCTTTGCTGATTAGTTCTTGCCCAAGAAAATCCTATGAAAGTCATGGGCTTCTCATAAAGAAAATGCTATTTTTCCCTTCTATGAGAATTTCTAAGTCTTCAAGCTCAACTTTACAATCAATTTCTGGTGAAAGCAGATCATAGAATCACATTGGAGAAGGTAACACTTGAGGATCTAGAGATTTCTAGGGTGTATCTACACCTGGCCTTCCAGGTGTTTTGGACTCCAACTCCCACAATTCCTAACAGCCTCAGGCCCTTTCCTTTTCCCACAATTCCTAACAGCCTCAGTGACTGAGGGGGGAAAGGAAAGGGCCTGAGGCTGTTAGGAATTGTGGGAGTTGGAGTCCAAAACACCTGGAAGGCCCAAGTTTGCCCATGTCTGATCTACATCATGGAATGAATGCTGTCTGACACCACTGTAAGTGCCATGGCTCAATGCTATGAAATCCTAGGATTTGTAGTTTGGTGAAGCACCAACAGAAAGGACCGAAGACCTTGTAAAATTACAAAGTCCAGGATTCCAATAGCATTGAGCCATGACAGTTAAAGGGAAGTCAAACTTCATTCATTCCACAGTGTAGAAGCACCACTAGAGGAAATGTTTTTAATCTAATTCCCAAAAGTTAAAATGTGTAGCTACTTGACCCCTTGGAAGTTGGAGCATAACATCAATCAATCCTTGCAACTTGTGTCAACTTGTCCTGCTACTAGTTGAGCTGGAGTTTGCATACACCACTTTCCCTTTGCATGGTACATCATTTTCAAAAACTCTCCAAAGTGGCAAACAAGTCGGGTATCACACTTTGGATCAATACAGGTGACTTTGAGCTTGCCGTGCCTTGTGTTACGTGTCATAATGCCCTCTCTCTTTTTAATATATATATTTTAAAAGCATTTTTATAGTCGAGGAAGGGCTGCTAGGCCAGGAGAGCTGCTCATTTTATTGTATTTACTTTCAAAACATATTGTGGATGCAAAATAGTGTGTTGTTCAATGTGTTCTCGTCAAACTGGAGGAAGCAAAACTATTTTATTTCTGTAGGATGCATCTACACCAGGCATGGGCAAACTTTGGCCCTCCAGGTGTTTTGGACTTCAACTCCCACAATTCCTAACAGCCGGTAGGCTGTTAGGAATTGTGGAAGTTGAAGTCCAAAACGCCTGGAGGGCCAAAGTTTGCCCAAGCCTGATCTACACTGTAGAATTAATGCAGTTCGACTGAAGTTTTACTGCCCTGGCTCAGTGCTATGGAACCTTGGGATTTGTAGTTTTACAAGGTCCAAAAAGTGCTGGGGTCTCACCAAATGACAACTCCCATTGTTCCATAACATTGAGCCAAAGTGGTGTCCAACTGCATTAATCTTGCCATGTAGATACACCTCTGTAGTGTTTTGACTTAAGTGAGCTTAAAAATCTAAATAATTTTGGTCACAGAATAATTTTGTGGTAACATCTGATGGAAACGTTGAAGGAAAAGTAATGGAATTAACAGAATTATATCCACTCACAGGTAATATAAACAAAACAAAACAAAACAACAGTTTAAATAAAGACATATAGGGGTCAAAATTCAGGCTTTGTTCCATCTAGAGTGCATCTACACTGTAGAATTAATATAGTTTGATACCACTTTAACTTCCATGGCTCAGTGCTATGTAATCTTGGGAGTTTTAGTTTTGCAAGGCCTTTAGCCTTCTCTGGCAAAGAATGCTGGTGCTTCACCAAACTACAAATTCCATTATTCCATAGCACTGAGCCCATAACCCAGGATTAATAAAGTTGGGTTGCTGTGTGTTTCCCAGACTGTATGGCCATGTTCCAGAAGCATTGTCTCCTGACGTTTTGCCTGCATCTATGGCAGGCATCCTCAGAGGTTGTGAGGTCTGAGAGGCAGACGTCACAAGCTCTGAGGATGCCTGCCATAAATGCAGGCAAAACGTCAGGAGAGAATGCTTCTGGAACATGGCCATTCAGCTTGGGAAACACACAACAACCCAGTGATTCCGACCATGAAAGCCTTTAACAATACATTAATAAAGTTAACAACCACAACAACAACATGTTCAGTAAACAATCACAAAATTTAGACTTTTTACTTAAAGAAGAATCCAGGCTTTTCCCCATTTTGCTCATAACTAAGAAGAAATGTAGGTAACGTCAACATAGCCACCTTATTTTGTTTTAAGTTTGGTTTGCAATAACAGAAAGCTATTTAGGCACATTATCTATAACATTGTTTTTATTCCTCAGATGGCACAGTACTTCCTTAACACAGGAAACTTTCATACAACAAGCTGTGCTCTTAGTTCAAAGCCAAGTACACTAGATCCTCATTTAACGGGCAGCCATGGGGCTAAATGCCGGATAAATGTAGTTTCTGGTTGCTTGAGGGTTACTATTAAAAATAGGCATAGGTAAAACAGTTCCTAAAACTCACCATACATTAAAGAAAATGGGAAGTTGTGGCTAAATGTACCTTCGTTTACAAAACATTCATTATAAATTTTTACAAACACTTCCAATATAAGTTGCTGTGAGGTTTCTGGGCTGTATGGCCATGTTCCAGAAGCATTCTCTCCTGACATTTCACCCACATCTATGGCAGGCATCCTCAAAGGTTCTGAGGTTTGTTGGAAACTAGAACAAGTGAGGTTTATATATCTGTGGAATGTCCAGAGTGAAAGACCTCTTGTCTGTTTGAGGCAGATGTGAATGTTGCAATTGGCCACCTTGATTAGCATTGAATGGCCCCGCAGCTTCAAATCTGGCTGCTTCCTGCCTGGCGGAATCCTTTGTTGGGAGGTGTTAGCTGGCCCTGATTGTTTCATTTCTGGAATTCCTCTGTTTTCTGAGTGTTGTTCTTTATTTCTTGTCCTGATTTTAGAGATTTTTAAAATATTGGTAGCCAGATTAAGTTCATTTTCATGGTTTCCTCCTTTCTGTTGAAATTGGCCAATTGCAACATTCACACTTGCCTCAAGCAGACAAGAGTTCTTTCTCCCATCCTGGACATTATTCCACAGATATATAAACCTCACTTGCCTAGTTTCCAATAGATCTCACAAACTCTGAGGATGCCTGCCATAGATGTGGGCAAAACATCAGGAGAGAATGCTTCTGGAACATGACCATACAACCTGGAAAACTCACAGCAACCCAGTGATTCCGGCCATGAAAGCTTTTGATAACACACTCCCTGTAATAAGCAACTGAGGGGGGAAAGGAATGGGCCTAAGGCTGTTAGGAATTGTGGGAGTTGGAGTCCAAAACACTTGGAGGACCCAAATTTGCTCATGCCTGATCTACACTGACCACAACATAGTGCAGTTTCAAACAGCATTATATGGCGGTGAGTGTACTGTATTTTGGTATCTGTTTTTGCCCTTTTTCTAGAGATTTCGATTCCAACCCTATTCAATTCTGCTCTGCCATCAAGTCACCCAGAAAAGCTGGTTTGCAAATGGTGTCACTCTGCTCCACTAAACCTCCTTTCAGTACAAGAGAACTTGAAACTGCAATGCAAATCAAGCGGAGGTTAGATCCATCCTGGGCACACAATGCATTTCCATTTCCCTTTCCCCCAGTCCAATTCTCTTCTATGTCCACATTTACCTACCGTCCTATTTTCGCAGGTGCTTGGTCCCAATTCCTACCATCGCTTTTCGGAGCACCGAGCTGGTGGCATCCGGCACGGCAAGCAAGAATTACAAAGTGGAGTGAGACCTACCGGTCCCTGTGCAGGTGAGCCAACCAGCTGAACCACACCCCTTGCATACCTGGGCAGGTAAGCTGTACCTGCGTTGCTGCGGTCATTTGTGGAACACCTTCCTCTCTCACACATACACCTCATTGTACTTGAAATGAAACTCGAAACTCAGGCTCGGAGAAAATCCGGAAGGCAGCATGACCCTGGCTAATTGGGAATAAACAAAGGTAGCTTTGACTTACTTTATTATTACAGTATATTCTCAATTAACCACAACTCAAGCAATCGGAACTCTCAAAAGCATTGAATAATCCTCAAAAAATACATGTATAAGACACTAAATTTTGCCTTTAATTACCGTATTTCAATATTTATCTCAAGTCAAGAATGTATGACATGGTATAGTACAGGCATGGGCAAACTTTGGCCCTCCTGGTGTTTTGGACTTCCACTCCCACAATTCCTAACAGCCTACCGGCTGTTAGGAATTGTGGGAGTAGAAGTCCAAAACACTTGGAGGGCCCAAGTTTGCCCGTGCCTGGTAGTATAGAATATAGTATTAGTAAAGGTAAAGGTTTTCCTCTGACATTAAATCTAGTCGTGTCTGACTCTGGGGGCTGGTGCTCATCTCCATTTCTAGGCCGAAGAGCCAGCGTTGTCCATAGACACCTCCAAGGTCATGTGGCCAACATGACTGCATGGAGCACTGTTACCTTCCTGCCGGAGTGGTACCTATTGATCTACTCACATTTGCATATTTTTGAACTGTTAGGTTGACAGAAGCTGGGACTGACAGTGGAAGCTCACGCCGCTCCTGGATTCGAACCTGCGACCTTTCGGTCAACAAGATTAGCAGCTCAGTGGTTTAACCCATTGCGCCACTGGGGGTTCCCAAAATATAGTATTAGTTAGGCCTATTTTTAGTAGTAAGTCTCAAGCAACCAGAAACTACATTAATCTGGCATCTGTTAATACCAGAGAAATGTATTATATGTAAAACATATGCAATAGACTCTCAGTTAACCAAGTTGGTTAACTGAAAGGCTACTGTATATCTATTAAATATTATTTCCACCATTCATAAAACACAAAACAAAACCGTTTGCTGCCATCTTGTTGCCATTTTTTACCAGTATACTCCATCTTCAGGTGCATCAACACCTTCAGGTGCATCTACACCTTTGCAAAAGCATATGAAAAGCTCGGCCTGTCATTGAACATCAAGAAAACTAAAGTGGTCTTCCAGCAGTCACCAGCCAATCGCTCTCCAATGCCAGAAATACAGCTTAACATTAGAAAATGTTGAGCATTTCCGCTACCTTAGCAGACACCTCTCCACAAAGTCAACATTGACACTGAAATACAACATCGCCTGAGCTCTGCGAGTGCAGCATTTTTTCTAGTGAAGCACAGAGTGTTTGAGGACCGGGACATCCGTAGGGAATGGGATACCAAGGTGCTTGTTTATAAAGCTATTGTCCTCCCAATCCTGCTATATGCCTGCAAAACGTGGACTATCTACAGAAGTCACATGCAACTCCTGGAATGATTCCCTCACTGTTGCCTCTGAAAAATCCTGCAAATCTCTTGGAAAGACAGGCAGACAAATGCTGGCATGCTGGAAGAAGCAAAGACCACCAGAACTAAAGTGATGGTTCTCTGCCATCAACTCCGCTGGACCGACCATGTTGTCCGAATGCCCGATCACCGTCACCCAAAGCAATTACTCTACTCGGAACTCAAGAATGGAAAACAGAATGTTGGAGGACAAGGAAAGAGGTTTAAAGATGGGCTCAAAGCCAACCTTAAAAACTGTGGCATATACACCCAGAACTGGGAAGGCCTGGCTCTTAAGCACTCTAACTGGAGGTCAGCTGTGACCAGCTGTGCTGTAGAATTTGAAGGGGAACGAATGGAGGGCAAAAGAGAGAAATGTTCCAAGAGGAAGGCGTGTCAAGCCAACCTCGACTGGGACCGCCTTCCACGTGGAAACCAATGCCCTACTGCAGGAGAACACGCAGGTCAAAAATAGGGCTCCACAGTCACCTTCATACCCACGGCCAGGACACCACACTTAGAGGACAATCTTACTCAGACAACAAGGAATCGCCTAAGTAAGTAAGTACACCAGGCAGTGCTTTTGTACTGGTTCATGGTGCTCACTATAACCTGCAATGCCATTGGAGGGAGGGCCTTTGATGTCTCCTGAGATGTGGGATCTATAGCTGTTTGTGGAGGTAGGAGCTTTTCTGTGTAAGTGGACACCCCAGCCACACATAAATACATATTTTCACTTTTATTATGTGTATAGATAGCTAGATATGAAAGCTGATTCCTGTCAGTTCTTTGTTTTTTGCTCAAGTCTGCTGACAACCTGTTTTCCCAGACATAGGCAATAAACTTTCATTTGCACATAAAAACTTTTATAATTTCTTTCACTCTTTTACAAGATACGATGGGCATTACTTTTTTAAAGGCACCAGGAACATCCACAACCTTTCTATACACAATGTATTCTGCCCTATGCCAGTTGAATTAATCTACCTAAATGCATGAGGAGAAGTAGGTTGCTGTGGAGAAAGATAAGAGGTTATAATATTACCTTGCAGCCCCAATCTACTTGAGAAGGAGAAGATTTAGGTTATAGGCTTGTGCATTTCTGCTAAATCTCAATCCGTTCCTGCTGGCCAGACACCGGTAGACCCCCATATCCATTTTTGCATGACTCCCAAAAACGGTTGGGTAGCTGGATAGCCATTTTTGGCCCATAGCCGAAAAATGTGTCTAGATCTGGCCCATTGGCAGCAACGAGAAACTTATGAAGCTCCCCTTTCTATTCCTGGCACCCATTCCTTTTTTCCTTCAAGGGAGCCTGGGTATCAGCAACAGGGTTAAGAAAGCACCCCATTGTGGGCGGGGGGAACTTCCCATAGGCTCCACTTCCATATCCTTCATTAAGACCTGAATTAAAAGAATCAGAGTTACAATAACACACTTTTTGCAATCCTTTCCTTTCTGTTTGTAGAGGAGACCGAGTTTCATGCTTCCTTAAAGCTGTTTCTTTCTACTCTAGAGGAGACAGGCTGTAGGCTTGCACGCTCTTTCCCTGCACACAGTTTTCCAAGGCATTTAAGGTGGCTTCAGACTTCCCAGGGAAAAAAGAGCGATCAACATGGAACTGTCTCTCTGGGCTTCCTTTAAAAAACCCTCTTTTTGCTCTACTGCAGGCACTGTCTGGAATGGGCATGCTTCAGTCCTGGTTTAATGCTTCCTTAAAGCTGTTTCTACTTTCTACTCTAGAAGAGAGATAACTAGGTTGTCGTTTTCAGAGAATGGGTTTTTTTGTTTGTTTGCTGGGATTTATTTATTATTATTATCTTTTAGAAATATTTGAAGGAGAGGAGGGGACGGAGAAAAAAAAAGCTGAAAGGGTGACTCTCCCAAGCCCCCCATCCACCCGTCCCCAACTCCCAGCAGTCCCACTAAATAAAAAGAAAAATCAAGAAAAATCAAGAAAAATCAAAAAGATTAAACTGTGGTGCTTACTAGGGGAGGAGGAACTGATATGGCAAATGCCTTAGCATCACCAAAGCAGCCGGATTGGCTGAATGAATGGCTAAAGACAGATCCAGGCTCAAGAGCTTTGATAGTGATTAGTGACAGGACAATCAGCAAGGAGGAAGAACTGAATGCTATTTTGTGGAGCTATGCATATGTTCAGGGGTGAATGTTTGAGCTTAGCATATATATTTTTTTTCGTGTCAGGAGTGACTCGAGAAACTGCAAGTCGCTTCTGGTGTGAGAGAATTGACCGTCTGCAAGGATGTTGCCCAGGAGGTGCCCAGATGATTTTTTTTATGTTTTACCAACTTTGTGGGAGGCTTCTCTCATGTCCCTGCATGGGGAGCTGGAGCTGACAGAGGGAGCTCATCCGCGTTCTCCCCGGATTCAAACCTGCGACCTGTCGGTCTTCAGTCCTGCCGGCACAAGGGTTTAACCCATTGTGCTACTGGGGGATCCTTAGCATTAATAAATATTTCATTGTTGATTCTTTTTTTATAACCATGTCTTACTGCAGTGAACTCACTAAACAATGCACCAACTTGGCCATATAACGATCACCTGATCTAAAAAGGGATTTTGGGGAGGAAAGGAGAAAGTAATAGAAGCACAAGAGTTGGAAATGCAGGACCAGCATGAGGAGGGGATCCGTCATGCCGTATTTTCATTTTTTCCCATGTGTTTTTTGCATTCTATGTAAAGTATATAATGCATCATTTCTACATCTCAGGTTTTGGTGATGGAGTCTCAGGATCCAGGATAGTCTTGACATGGGAATCATAGCAGGAACTTCACGTGTGTCTTCAGTTTCACAAATGAAGGATGACAGCGAATAAAATAAAGTGGGGATACAGGTGAAGCACCTGGTGAAACAGTAGAAATTACTTTCTATTGTTCTACAACTGTGGTTCTCAATCTGTGGGACTCCAGATGTTTTGGCCTTCAACTCACAGAAAGCCTAACAGCTGGTAAACTGGCTGGGATTTCTGGGAGTTGAAGACCAAAACACCCGGGGACTTACAGGTTGAGAACCACTGATCTACAAAATGTTTATTCTCTGATTTCTCACCTTGAAACATTTCAGGCCGGAACAGGAATGTGAACATTTTTGGTATCTCCTCTCCTCCCACCCAGTTTCAGGTATTAATACAACAGGCAGTTTAAAAAAGTATCAGAGAACATTCATACCACGCGCTCCGATGGCTTAAGTTGTTATCCATCCTCTTCTTGCCTCTCTTAGCCATTTACATCATCAGGGTCTTATCTCTGATGCTGAGCTAGTCGTCTGAGAGAGGTGGGGAGGAGTTTTATTTAAAGGAAAGCTGCCTTAAACAGATTGGATTGCCCATCATGCCCTTTATTGTGAACTCCAGTTAGGGTTCAAGGTTCTTAGGTTTGATCTTGGGTCTAAGGTCTTAAATCCATCTTCTCCAGTT